CTCCCTCTGCTGTGCCCCCTCCCCTCTGGCCCCCGTGGTGTGGTAATTCAAGTAAGTGCCCCGGTGGTGACATGACAGGACCACCTTGCTCATAATCCATTCGTAAAAGAGACTTCCAGACCCCGGCCCTACCACCCATCTGCCAGTCATTGCCCCCGTACCGGTACCTTCCCTGCAGCTTGCACTTGCCCGATCTCCAAGTCCCGTCTCTACCTTTACACCAAGGTGCCTTGCACTAGCACCACCCCTTCGCTGTCACTCTGCCATTCATTCATTCTCTTTCCCTTCCGACCTGCTGCTCCCGACCCTCTCTTCGCCTTCCTTTCACTTCAACTTCCCGGTTCATCTCCTGCTTTGCCCCAACCTGACCCTCGTTTTGCGTCTTCTCAACTCCACCTCCACATTCGCCGTCCATACTCGACGTCGAAACGAACGCTTTCTCAAACCCGCCCTCGACCGAATCGTTCCATTTCTTCGCATGATACGAATTTAGTACCGACCGCGCCGAACTCCTAGGGAAACCCGAACCTCCCAACCCGGCATTTTTCCTTTCCCTTTCTCCCAGTCGCTCGCTTCAACCACACGTCATTCGACGAACATCCTCGCCATGAAGTCTTCCAGCTCCTTCATCGCCAGCGCGGCCGGCGCCCTTTTCCTCTCCACCGGCATTGGTATCGCCAACGCCGCCTACTCCATCGCTTCCAACGGTACGCACTCCCTGCCGTCCCCACGACCGACCCAGCCACGACGATCTTCCCCACGGCCTTACTAACACTGTATGCAGACGACATCAAGAACACGGCCAGAGACATCGCCTACGACCTGATGAAGTTTTACGACGGAAACGAGACCGGCCACACGCCCGGTATCTTGCCTGGTCCGCCGCCCGCGGGTGATTACTACTGGTGGGAGGGTGGTGCGCTTTGGGGAACCATGATTGACTACTGGCATCTGACGGGCGATTCCTCCTACAACGATGTCGTCATGCAGGCCATGCTGCACCAGGTCGGGCCCAACCGCGACTACATGCCTCCCAACTACACGGCATCCCTGGGTAATGACGATCAAGGGTTCTGGGGCATGTCCGCCATGACCGCCGCCGAGAATAACTTTCCCAACCCGCCGACCGACCAGCCCCAGTGGCTCGCCCTCGCCCAAGCCGTCTTCAACACTATGGCCAGCCCTGACAGACACGATAACACGTGCGGCGGTGGTTTGCGCTGGCAGATTCCCCTCTCCAATAACGGATATAACTACAAGAACAGTGAGACGATCCGGATGTCCTTGGATGACCACGGAACTGACCCAATCTAGGTATTGCAAACGGCTGCTTCTTTAACATCGGTGCCAGATTGGCTCGCTACACCAAGAACACCACTTACTCGGACTGGGCCGAGAAGACCTGGGACTGGGTAGAATCTGTCGGATTCATCGACGCTGACTACAACATTTACGACGGTGGCCACGTCGAGCACAACTGCACGGATATCAACAAGGCCCAGTTCTCCTACAACAACGGTGTTTACATGCTCGGAGCCGCCCACATGTACAACTTTGTAAGTATCGACTGCGCCCAGAATCTCAGATAGCATATACTTACAAGCCCAGACGGACGGAGACGCAAAGTGGAAGACCCGTCTCGACGGTCTCATCCAGGGTACCATTAATGTGTTTTTCCCAAACAACATCGCTTTCGAGATTGCCTGCGAGGAGCACAACACCTGCACCACCGACATGTTGAGTTTCAAGGGTTACGTCGCCCGCTGGATGGCCATCGTCACCCAGATTGCACCCTACACCGCCGACAAAATCCTCCCTGTCCTCCAAACTTCAGCAGACGCTGCAGTGAAGCAGTGCACGGGACAGGCCAACCAGCGCACCTGTGGCTTCAAATGGAGCACGGGTACCTACGACGGCACGATTGGTGCCGGCCAGCAGATGAACGTCCTCGGCGCCGTGTCATCGCTTCTCATTGGACAGGCCAAGCCGCCCGTATCGAACAGCACTGGAGGTACGTCCCAAGGTGACCCGAATGCCGGCAGCAACTCGAACACCGACCTGGGCATCCACAACACCCCCATCACGACGGGAGATAAGGCCGGCGCCGGCATCCTGACCTTTTTGGTCCTGGCGTCTGCCGCGGGTACATTCGGATGGATGAGCTTTGGGGCATAATGGATTTGCAGCATATAACGACTTGATATTTGTTATTTCGCATGCAGCATTGCCACGGCTCTGCTGGCAGGTCGCCGGTATCAATTCGGCGCCTGTTCTCTAGGGATGTACCGGCGCAGGCCAGGGAAGGCCAGGGTTGTCGATTGGATATTTGGCGTTGCTCCTTTTTTGTATATGCACTGTGGATGGACACGGGCGCAACCGTCGTCAAGTCACCCAGTGCTCCCCGACGATGGGCATTGGGTAGCCCGTGATCGCGGAATTCCTAGTAGTCTATAATGTAGCTATGCTAAACAATATATCTTTCTTCCCTTCTAACTTTTCTTCTTTATAGTTTGCCGCCTAGAGGTACACCTTATTAACTACTATATAACTCTAATAGGGAAATATATAGAAAATTATAGTATAACTTCTATAGCTAACTTATAAAGTATATATAAAGGATTTTTAAACTACTTAGCTAAATAAAAATAACTTTTTATTATATTATAGTTTAAATTTAAAACTTTCTAAAATAAGTTTTGTATATATTTCTTATTTAATTAATATAATTTTTATTATTGGTAATATTAAATATTTTAAAAAAAAACTAGTTTACTATATATTTAATAATAGTTTAGTTAAACTTTTATAACTAAGAATAATAATATAATATCTCTATATTTCTTTATAATACATATTAGATTTTTAAAAACCCTTTAAAACTAAGTCTTTATTAAATTAAATAGAGATTTAAAATAATTACTAAAAACTTAAAAAATAAAAATAATAAAAAAAAGATTAATAGGATATTTAATAAGAAGTATAGTAAATAGCTCTAAAAGCTAATTACTATTATTACTTTTATTTAAAGATATAGTAGTTAAAAAGATTAGTTTAAGTTAGGGTAGAGGAAAAAAAGGTCTTTATATTCCTTTTAGTTATATAAAAATTCACAAAAGAATTCTTCATAAACTGCTACACAACACATAGTTTCCTAGAATAGACATATCGTCACTGAGACGATTATTACCAGCACACAAACGTTTTGTGGTCTAGTCAGAGACAGCCTTCAAGCATGTGTTTTCCAAATTTTCTTGAAACCGAGTGCATTGAATTATTGCCAGCGCCATGACGCCATCTTCATCCGATGTCGACAAGCGGAAGGCCCAGACGGCGAGCCTGACATCTGCACACACAAACCCTCTGCAGTCGAACAATCCCGGGGGTCTTCTAGGCCATGTTTCCCCGGGGTTACAGCGTACGTCATCTCGTCATCTGTCGTCTTATCCTGTGGCGGCAGCCGTTTCAGTGAGGCTCTTGAAGCCGCCAAGCGCCTTCTGGCGAAAGACCTTCTCTCTTCCACCCGAGCTTTTGCCGGCTTGTTTCTTGGCCTCAATTCCCCTCTCCTAAATGTGGTGGGTGTCCTCCTCTAAACATCCCACACTCCACTCCACTGGCGCGCAGCCAACCACATTCAGCGAGTCTCATTGAGGGTGGCCCAGTTCGTTTCATCAATCTCTCACTCTCACTCTCACTCACACCATTCAGATATTGCATCTTTCTCAGCTAGACTGACGCCTGGAAAGCTTGTCTAATTTTACGAGCGGTTGCATCTAAGCGACAGCACAAATTCGTTTCAATAGCCGGGCAGAGTTATTTCTCCATTGCGGTCCTTCCGTCTGCCTGTTCATTCCAAATCCCTTAAATCCTAGCCGACCTCCACCTCCATCCCAGGGAGGAAACACCGCCCGCAATGCCGATCCCGGACCTGACAAAGACGACAACCTTCCCGGCCTTTGACGGCCTCCCGATCGAGGAAGACGGCGCCGCGCCCGGCATGGACGCGCGGGAGGAGTGGTTCCTCGTCGCGCAGGTGAAGCAGAACATGACCATCACGAAGCCGACGGTGGTGGTCGCGGACCGCGCGGGGGACGAGTTCGCCATCACGTTCGAGGACCGCGGGATCGACCTGCGGCCGGTGAAGACGGGCTGGACGATCGTTGTGCCGCGCGCGTGCCGGACGGCGCCGAGGGAGGGGAAGAAGGGGTTCGTGAGGGTCGCGGAGGGGAGGGGCACCGGGGTGAAGTATGTGCCGGCGGCGCTGGAGAGGGTCTTTGAGCTGGGGAGGGCGGTGAGGGAGGGTGGCGAGGGGGAAGGGGAGGGAGGAGGAGGAGGCGCGGCGGCGGGGGAGATGTGTGCTGGGTGCGGGAAGGCGGGCGGGGAGGTGAAGAGTTGTACGGGGTGCGGTGTTGTAAGGTACTGTGGGAAGGTGAGTTTGATGATGGCGAGGGGAGTGGGGTGAGAAGGGATGGTTTTGCTAACGTGATGGGTGTAGGAGTGTCAAACGAAGGATTGGAAGACGCATAAGCTTGATTGCAAGGCTCTGAAGGGCATGGTCAACGCGTGGGGGGTATGATGTGAGCTTCGTTGGTCAAGCGTGCGGAAAGCATGGATATCTCAAGAGGACCAGGTTCCTGCTGGATGCTTCTCATAAAAGCGGCAAGTGTATGTTCTGGCACGATTCATCAAGCATTGATTCTAACAGCAAGTAGATGCCGAGGGACTCGATGTTAATGGGAATGCCATGTTAGTTCGTATTGGGTCCTCTGAAGAACTTGGAAGGAATGAAAGCTTTCTAAGGATGCCAAGTTTCCCCCCATCTGCCGATGCTCAAGGACCGTGATTCAACTCGCATCGCTTTACCCAAAAACGCCAAGTCCACCCCTACCCAACAATTACATATCAGAAACTACCTTGAATGAGCGATGAAGAATCGAACAGACTTTCACAAACACCGGCCCCCTTCAACGCTCTTCTCCCCTACCACGCTCTCACACAGCCACCTAGTTGTACAGAATCCGGGCAGCGGTAGGCGGGAACGACACATAATCGTTATCATTCACCCCAACCAGCTCCAGCCCCTCCACCGTGCCCGCAGGCTTGCAGTCCGACGGCGTCGACAGGTACGCGCCATACGTCGCGTCCCAGGTCGCATACCCGCCGTCGACAATCGATACCCGCCCGATGTTGGCGTTGCGCTGGTTGCCCGGGCCTCCCGCGCCCCAGCCGCCGGCGCCGCCCGCGGGCGCGGGCTTGAGCGAGGTGAAGACGTCGAGCTGGCGGCTGCCGCCGGCGTAGGTGTTGGCGTCGGCGAAGAAGGCGAACTGGCACTTCTTGCCGGCGGCGGCGGCCGGGTAGGTGAAGGTCAGCAGGGTGGTGAAGTCGTTGCCGGCGTTCTGGGGGTACTTGGAGACGTAGCCCCAGGAGGCCGGGTAGATTGCGCCGTCGCGGACGTTGTATTGGAAGACGGCGGAGGGGGTGAAGTAGGGGCTGCCGGTTTGGCGCTCCGAGAGGGGGGCGGGGGCCGCGAGGGCGGAGGTTGCGGCGAGGAGGGTGATGAGGAGCTTGGAGAACATTGTGGGCTGTTTGGGGGGTTGAGAAGTGTGTATGGAGGATATGAGATTGGGGACTTTTGAGGCAAAGGGCTTGGGAGTTGGTGATGGGACTGGTGATGAGATGGGTGGAGTTGAGGAAGGTGTGTTGTCGTGCCTTTTATAACAACTTCCAGCGCCATCATGGTCCTCGCCGTCGAGTCAAGCATCGTGACCGGTACTTTACCGAAGAAAGAACGTTAGGTCGCCGAGTGGGAGCATCATGGCTTTCCCAGCTGGGGCATATTCCAGAGGCAAAGTCATCATGCGGCAAACAAAGTCGGCGTTCTGCAAAGACGACCTTCTCAAAATAGCATCACGGAAGCACATTGCACCGCTCTCACCGACATGAACCCGCCAAAACTGAACACACGAATACACACATAATGCCCTTAGCTCAAGGAGGCTTTTTTCGCCCATACGAGCCTCGGCCCTATCCCACGCCGCCGGGTATCTTTCCGGATCAGCCCTGCAGCCCCTCCTCCCCTCTTCCCCGCGCAAGCTAGAGCTTAGCCTAGCTCCAAGTGCCGCGCCGTGCGGTGTGATGGGAGCCGGAGACTTTTCTGGGCCGGTGTAACCACGACGCCCGGGGCAGCTGGGTAGAGTCAGCCCTATGCCGGCGAATGAGGGGCCGGCGAGCTTGAGCGGGAAAAGCCTACGTGCAGATGACGAGCTCGTGTGGAGGAGGCTCAGCTCTGGAGCTGAAAGTGAGCTTTGTGGCCAATGGGAGGGGGGCGGTGAGAAGGAGCTTATGCGGCCTATCGCGTGCTGCTGCTTGCCTGCGTGGCTTGATGGGGTTTGGGGAAATGGATTATTCTGGCGGTGGCTGCGTGGACTTTTGAGGCCTTGCATTGACACGAACGAATGGGTTCCGTGAGATGCACGCCGCCATCAAGTCGTTGAGGACATTTGTGCCCATGGATCGAGCAGCGAGGGTGAGACAGCAAACGCGGGAGGTTGACGGAGGCCTGGAAGATGGAGCTTCCGGTGAGCAGGAGGGGTAGGTCTCGGTTGGGGGGACTATTTGGAGGGGTAAGATTCCGGGTGATTCTTTTGCGGCCGGGATAGAAAGATGAGGTTGCTTCTGGCGGCGGGGAGATGTGGTGGTGTGGTGTTTGTGGGGGGCTGTGTAAGCCGAGCTGAAATGTCGGGAAGGATTTGTGGCATCGTGATCGGGGCGCCTGAGACACGGGCCAGGTTGACAGTTGACATTTTCCTGAGCCGTTCGCTTCGAACATGACCGGGCCGACTCTTACTGGCTGGGAAAACGATGGCGAGCTTCATCAAGTTCTTTCCGCACCACCTTTTTGAGGTGATCTCCTCTTGTCATGACGGTGGTCTGAGACATACGAGATCTTGGGGAGAGGAGGGGTTTGGAGAGCTTACCTTAGGTGGAAGTCTCAAGTTGTGGTACGTCTCAAATGCTGGGAAGAGTTTGACAGGTTATGGCAACAGGGGTTTTTGAAATGGTCTAGTCATTTGAGTGAACTAGACCATTTCACCCTCGTGAGGACATCTTAAAAAACGCTGACGCCTTCGGTGAAGCGGTCAATGACCCAGCCGAGAGCAATGTTTAAGCACTACCTGGTGGGACTGCAGTAATAACACGCCGCAGTTGAAAGCCATCATTGAACATACATCCATATGAGCATGCGAGTGCGAAGAATGGATTGAAGTAACGTTGATTCCGGTAGGATTCGATTAGGCAGACCTGACACTTGTGCGTAACCTCTTTTTTGAGACACATGCAGGTATATCAAGCCACCAAACTTCATCAAGGCCGTTCTTCCATCTCAGTGAAAGTTATTGTGTCACCTGCGGTTGATCATTTGGAAGCCACGTGCGTCCTTATGGTGGTGCGCAAAGGTTTGTCGAGGTCCCATCTGCCTACTGTCTTTGATTTCTGGGACAGTTGAGCCTTCCCGTTCTCTGGTCAAGTCAATAAACTTGAGTCGTTTCTCTGTATACCGCAAGATTGTCCGCGGATGGGGGTCCGTTGTTCATCAGTTCTGCTCTGTGCCTGAGTGACTGGATTCATACTTTAGTGGCTATCGTGGTCACGACTGGCCACTGTGAAATCAGCACCCATAGTCAAAAGAAACTCTTCTTTTTATCCACCATTTTTCTGTTCTCTTCGGTAATCTCACATGGGATATGTTGTGGAGCTAAACCCTGTTTCATAAGCTGTAAATTTTACAACGAGTTCGGGCTAGATGGTAATCTACACCAAGTTGGTGATAGAACTCTTCACAATAGCATTTGCACGCTCCACTGGACAGTTCATTTTCATACATAAGGTCCTTCTTTCTTGTAGTTTTCTTTCACACTTTGATTCATTGGGTCTTTCCCCTTCTCGATTTATTCGTGGGATGGATAACAACTCAGATATATCGATGTAATTTCATCATAAAGCACCCGAGGAACATGTACCTAGCTACTTAAGAGTGTGCGAGTATGCCTTAAAGCATGCAAACTTGCTGAAGAAAACATACTGCGTTCTCCGTACTTATTCTCACAGGCTAGGCAACTGTTCCGCTCGACCTTTGCAGCCTCCAGGCAACGGTGCCCGGGGAGGTTTTTTTGCGTGGAGTGTTTCTGCATGTTGGAGCAGGCCTCCAACAACAACTCCTACACGGCCACAGCCCAGTGGTTCGATCAGTCTGCAGCTTATCTACAGAATTCAATCAGGCACCCAATAGAAACTGCGGATGTCTTAATACCCACTGTCAGCACTCAATTGGATTAAAGTCTCCAAGAAGTGTTCACTGGGAGCATGTCTTGTTGCATGTCTAGCAAAGCCTCACGAGGGCCCACTGCCAAGGTCCAACGCTAGAGCCTTGTCGGCGATGTCGGCCAAAGAGGAAGATGCTCAAACCATGGTGTGGATTGATGCGACGGAACATATTCATGGGGTCGTTCTGATTTGGAAAATGTCGCTCACATGTTGGCTCTGGCGAGGCATTCAACCTCCAGAGGTTCCAGAGCCTTTGAGATTGTCATCCAACCCACCAGACTACGAATTATCATCATCTCTGCTGCCAGCTGTTGAACTCATCGTTCTGATCCTTCACCGAAAAGTCTTTGAAAAGATGGCCAGCCCACAGGACCACTTCTTCAAGCTCTTAGAGTACTGGTCCATTGATAACCTCGACGCTCTCTCGAGAGACTACGGAGGCCACTCGGAGTCCGACGATGCTAAACGCCTGCGTCTGAAGAACTATCCGGGAGCCCGATCCTATCTCAGATTTCTGCGGGATTCGTCTGGCGACTACGACGATGGCCCTAGTTGCACTGGCGCTGAGTCAGATTCGGAGCTTTGCCGCGGATGCACCAGCCGGTTGAACGAGGTATCGAAAATCGAGTATTTTCGAGTCGGTCTCGAAGATTCACTCCTACGTGGTGACGCAGACGACGCGGACGATGTCGACTATAAGTGCGCGAATCTTCGCCCGAACGATGTTTCCCTGTGGGCCAAGGAACCCAACTTCTACCGAGCACTCGCTGCCGATGGAATGGGCTTCTTGTCTCAGGTCGCTCATGTGTGCATATACGCCGCCGTACGTCCTTGCACGAACGCAAGGTGCACAAGGCTGCGTGAGAGGATGGGTAGCCGTGCCCCCAGGTTACCAGGGTGGCCATCTCTAAGGGAATGGGCGATCACTGCTATGTCCTGTCAGGAGAATCATCGCAAGGACTGGACTGAGAAGTCTGCTATTGGGCATACACATATTGCCAGCGCTGTTGCGGGACTTGCAATGGCTCTGGCAGAGTGCTCACGCCCATGCTACAGGAAGACTCATTTCCAAAACCACCTCGATAACGCCGAGGATGGGGAGGACGAGGAGGATGCGGATGAGCAAGTCAAACTTCTGGATCAGGTTTTGGACTTGCTCTATTGGATGGTTTCGGTCCAGTACAACTTCTCAGTTGGACTAGACAAGTTCGGTCGTTGGGTATCGGATTTGATGTCCAACAGCACTGGCGATGGACTCGAGAGGCCTAAGAAAGCATTCGACCAACTGGACAACACCAGATTCTGCAAGTTCCGAGTATCGAATTTCCTCGAAGCCTGCGACCGAAAGGATGCGGATCTGCCAACCATTATGAATTTCTTGGGGTCGATGAAGAGTCTTGTTGACGACAAAGAAAAGAAAGCCCACGAGAACTGCACGCCAAAGTTCTGCCAGCAGGCTATCATGGGCAGTACGAAGACACAGCAAATGCATGCGCCTGTGGAACATCAAAGTTGCTCCAAATTGGAGTTCGACATGGACAATATCGACAAGGCCATCGACGAAGGTCATTCCACGGCCTGGCTTGGCGGCGAGGAAAACATATCTGACAACAAAGTTCAGCTTGCTCACCCGCACGATGACTACGTCGCGATCTCCCACGTCTGGTCGGACGGGACAGGCGTGGGTCTCTCGTCAAAGAAGGGGGAAGACCCAGACTCAAGCGCTCGCATGATCAACTCCTGTCTCTGGGAATTCTGGGAAGACAAGGTCAACAAAGTCTGGGAAGGCGAGGACCGGAAAGCCATCTGGTGGGATGCTGTATCCGTGCCGGAAGGCAATAAGCAGTATGACAAGGCTCTCAAATCCTTACACAAGAACTACGCCAATGCGAAATGCACTATCGTATACGACAAGGAGCTCACTCGCACCGAGTTCAAGAACGACGGAAGCCCGTGCGTTGCGCTGGTATTGTCGAACTGGTTCTCTCGCGGTTGGACTGCGTTGGAGCTGCAGATGTCCAAGCAGGTCAAGGTGCTGTTCAGAAAGGATGGCGAGATCGTCCCGTATGATCTTGACAAGGATATCTTGGAGTTCTCCCCGTCCACGACAAGCCCCGCCCATTGGCTGGCTACGAGCTGGATCAAGCGCTTGCGAGAGCCTGTCAACGATATTGGCGACATCATTCACTTCCCGCCCGCTCGAAAAGACGAAAATTGCTGCACTTCTGGCTGATGTTCCACACTGCAACTTTTCAGGGCAAGAGGGTGAAATCACACGGGACATCCTGAAATATCTTGGGAAGGTTCCTTCGCTCTGCTTGTTCCATGGCGAAGCCACCATGAAAAACAGTGGCCCATGGTCGTGGTGCCCATCAACCATTTTCAACATGCCAGCTGCAACACCCATCGACGTTGAGAGCCGCACTATGTCTGATTTCCTCTCACTACTGGATGTCACGGAAGATGGAGCGATATCCGGCCAGTGGCGTTGTCGGGAGCTGAAGAAGGATGACGACAAGGCAGTCCACCTGTTTGGCAGAGATCCTTCGTCGCGTGTCAAAGTCCGTCTCGCGCTCCAGAAATCTCATATACAGCGCTGCTTTCTTTTGCGTCCCATGGCTTCGTTACAACAAGGAGAGCCAGCTCTGCTTGTGAAGAGGCTCGGGCAGAGACCGGACCACAATGAAGAGCAGACCTTGCTGTGCGACTATGTCGGCACTGTCTGGGAAACTCAAGCCCTCGAGGAGTCTGACTGGCGTTATTCGCAGATCATCATGGGAAGCAAGTTGGATCCTGATGAGTCGACGGAATTGGAAGACTTTGGCGATGTGTCTTCCGAGTATCCTAAAGATTCCATCTCCGACGAGAAGGTTGTTGTTGATGTGGAAGACTACGAGCCCCAACAAAAGCCTTATCCTGCGGCCTGGCTTAGTTCCGAAAGTACACATGACTACGACGAATGGCTAGGGGATGATGAAAGTTTCTTGAGGGTCCTACAGTCAAGTTCTGTTGACGAAAGATCGCTCCAGGAACAGCTAATCGACTCAATCGCCAAAGCAAACCAGAAGGCAGCTCAATATCTGCTCGAACTATCCAAGAATGATCTCGACCCGGAGCTGGCCGATCAACTGCGACTGAAGGTGGACGAAGGCGAAGACGAAGTCAACACACGCTATCATCAACGGTCTTTGGTCTCTTGGCGATCACTATCTGCGCGAGCGAGAATGGAACAAGGCCGAGAAAGCATACAACAGCGCTATTGGTTTGTTTGAGAGTCTTACCGAGGACGATTTGTCTTCCCAGGCTCATTTGATTCCTAGATATTCCGGGGCGATGCTGACCTATCAACGCGGCCTGGTATCGATGTTATCCGAGAACTCCTCTGACGCCGGGTCATTCTTTACGAGGACTTTGGAGATGATGAATAAGAGGACGAGAAGCCAGAAGCCTTTGAATCAAAACGGAACGAGATCCCAAGGGAGCGTTAAAAAAGAGGTGGTCAAGAACAAGCAGCAAACCCGCGGTGACAGGCCTGAGGACAGGGACGGTGATTATTTCGTCAAAGGCAGTGCCCTTGGCGCTCTCATCTTGTTGTCCATCGACCAGGAGAGCGGCGATGACGAGCCACTCGACAAGCCAAGGGAATATTTCATGAGGTCTCTCCGCTTTGCAGAAAGGGATAGACTTAAAGGGAACGCCGCGAAGGCAACCATCGACTACAGCCTGGGGATGCCTGAAGACGACTTACCTAGCCCGGGTGAACAGGAAGCTGTTAACACCGAGAAGACTCTCAGAAGCGCTCTCAAAAAGTTCAATGTGCTATTCCGGAAGAAGCACTTAGTTTGCTGCGTCACTGCACTTTGCCTTGGTGTAACCCTACGTATCAGGTCTCTTTCGGCGAGCGATTCTGAGCAGGTACGCATCTCAGAAGATGCAAAAGAGCATCTCGAGCGCGCTACAGCCGACTTGATGGAAATGCTTCCAGACTTCTCAGAGGAAGGGAATGACTCCGGGCGAGGAATGAGATTGCACAGTATTGCTCTTGCTCATAAGCAGCTTCTAGAGAACAACGATTGATGGAAACGGGAAGTGGTGACCCAGAGTGGAAACTTTCACCGGAAACTTTTCGGTGAGCATTTTCAAAGAATCACCTCAGCCAATAGAATTTATCTCTGTTCTTCTCGTTTCTGTATTCACGTATAATAAATTGCCGCCTTATTCTTTGGAACTGAATGATGATATTGAATCAGAATCCCAGGCAGATGTCAGAATCCCCCTTCACAAATCTGGAATTGAACATCATATGCGTGATGAAAAAGCGCTTTGCTGAATTCAACAAGAATGGCTGTGTTGTGGCTGGCTATGCATGAAAGTCTCAGTCGAATCCGATTGGTCTCGACCATGGATCCGGCCAGAATGAAGGCCATTTGTTGTTTGACTTGTATCAACGGGGCGTATCGCCATTGGGCTTCTCCCGTTGGTCCGCCACCCTTACCATCATGCATGTCCACACGGATTCCCGTCATTGGATGACAGTGCATGCGGGCGCGGAGTTCTTCCAATTACATTTTACAGCGTCTGGCTTTTCTTCTGTCTGACTTGCGAGGAGAAAGCCTATGACTTCGCGCGAAAGTTCCCTAAAGTGTGGCCCGGCAAGGTGTAGCACAAGTTCGGCTAACACATGTCAGACCATGCTTACCCGCCCATAATTGATGCTTGCAGTGATATGAGTTTGTATTCAGTATATGTTGTAGTAAGGCCTCCTGCCCCATTTCATCTATATTGTCGTCCATTCCCCGAAGATGGGGAACAAGGAGGGGTTCTGACTGCAGCTGCATGAAGTATCCACCTGGAAGTTAGCAACATTAGGAAAGCTCAAATTGATTCCCATTTTCTTCATTCCTTCCAACCTCTCATCATGGTTCAAATGGCGCCCATATGGTTTTACTCGCTAGCGAGTTCCATCCCCGTCAAGCGCGAGGTGCTCAACGATGCTGCGGCACGGGCTTTGCGTTTCCAGTGGAGGAACCCAGCCGACATCCTTTCCGTGCTCCTTCTCCTCGGCCCCGAAATCTTGAAGAATCGTAAAGAAGGCGGTAGCCGCTCAGACCGGCCGCCGAATCACTCCCGTCGCGTTTACCTTCGGTTGGGTGGCGTATGGAGCAAGCGCCCTGCTGGATGCCCTTGGCGGTGAGTCTCGAGATGCGCGTGGGCGGGGTTTCCAACCGCCTGGGTGGATGTCGTTAAAAAATCAAGCTAACAGGATGTATTAGGTGGTACACTCATGCCAGCACCGGACGTAGATGGTGTCATGGTTGTTGGCGCCGACAGCACCCACCTCCGGAATTCATCAAGCTGAGTCCCGGGTTGTCTGCTTCGAGACTTGACCTACAAAGTGGCCGAAGAGATGCATCATGAACAGAAGCATGTTGCAAACCCAGAAGCTAGCAGCGAGAAATCGCCGCAGATGAAAGGAGCCTGCCTGGGAAGCCTTGAGAGTTTCAGTCTACACGGTTGACTCTGAACCAAAGGCCGCACATAGCGTCCCCTGTCTTGACTTCGTCTGGTACTCCGGCTGTGTGGTCATTCTTATCCAACTCGCCGTCTCCTTAGTACCGTGGATCGTCTACAGGGATCGGTCGATCTTCCTCGTTACGGCCGCCGGCACTCTTTTGGCCGTCGTAGGAAGTTCGCTGCCCCAGTGGCGGCAGGAGAAATGGGCCTGTCCCAGTGATGGAGGTGCAACAGTTGCCATTACCCAAGGCAACGGCAGTCGTCACGTAGTTCTCATCGAGAACAATCGCCAGTCGAAAGTTGGGCTCGATCTCAAAATCCTGGCTTGCGCTACGCGCGTGTTCAAGCCAACGCTTGAAACAAGAACCATAACTGTGGTCTTGACTCTTCTTTGGGTTATGCTGCTCATAACTGTTTCAGGCATGGGAGAGCACACTTGGTGTACGTTGATCGCTTCTTGTTCGATTCGTGACAGGAGGGTACACCCTGTCATTAAAAAGGTCGAGAAAGACTATCCCTCCATGGGGTTGGTTCTGGTGGACATCTTCTATCCAGGCTCGTTGCGGGTCAATACTGACGAGGACAAGGACTTCTGGAGAGAAGCAGTTCAGAACAGGATGAAACCTAACAAATTTGGGGTTCGAGTGGATACTCTCGTCGCAAAGCCGTGACCATGATAAAACGCACATATCATACGAGAGCAATCATCCCAATTGTTGTCAAAACCATATAGTTTAGGCACAACTTGCAACTATGATTCCAGCGGCAATCTTTCCTCGCTATGATCCATCTCTAATTTGACCTCCATCAAATAAAGGTCCCTTGCAACTTAGGCGGCCTCAGGAGACGTTTTGTCGACAATGAAGCCAGCTATATCCCGGCCGCTGCAGAACCGAGCCTTCGTTGCATCAGCTATTGTCTCGAGCTCAGCCAGTTGCATCAGAGGCAAAGCCTGTGTCGCATCCAAGCTATCCCGCTGCTTATCCAGATAAGTGTGCTGCGTCTCTGCCCTATAGAACAAGAGAGGCAGGATCGATGATTTCCAAATCGGACGCCAACCTCTATCCCGACAACTCTGTGCGTATGTCGCCGCAAGGATAATAGATGTCAGAACCAGCAGGACACCCGGATACACCAGCCATGGCCAGTCAACGCGCATGCAGATGGACATTTCGACAGCAGTCCCACTCGTGAAGCTCCGCGCTTCTGTGAGGAACTCACGTCCTTTCGCGCGCATGCGGTTCGTCAGAGCCGTCGCCATGTTGTCAAAGGCGGTGGAGATGTCGTCGAATGTGGCGTTTCCGTTGTTGAAGAATGCATCGACCCAGAAGCCCCCTTCACAGTTTATCCTGCCGTCTTCAAGGCTCGAAGTCGGTCTGTTGGAACCCGAAGTTGTCTTGGCGCAAGATCCTTTGAGCGTCTGCAGAAAGAATCGCCTGATACCAAGGAGCTCGGTGGGATCCATGAGTACCAGACACTCGGATGGCGCTTCATGAAGAGTATCTCCTGGACCCCATGATGTCCATTTCACGCCGTCGCGCGGTGCTTGGCTGATGTTGGACGAGTCGTACCATATGTCTTTGATAATGCAAGGCTCGCTCATGGCAACGTAGGAGAAGTTCCGAAACACATGCGTATTTCTGACTTCGTCCGCTATGTTTGCTTGGACGTATGAGATATTTGTTGCACCGGCCGGTGCTGTGGAGACAAGCTTCTCGTTCAAGACACCATTCACCACGTTGGCGTTGTAGCGGCGAAGGCATGGGTGTAAGCTGCAGTTCGCCGCCACAATGTCGAACTCTGGGAAAAGACCCGGCGTGTTTTCGTAGTTGTGCTCGCAATACCTGGTCAGGGATCCGTGATTTGGATCCTTTGTACGAGCACAGCCTTTTGCAGTAAACGACAGGATGGACGTCTCGGTATTTTCGTAGTCTTCCGTGGTCCTATAAGGGTTCGTCCGTTCCGTCGTCATGTTGAAGATACCAGACTTGAAAAAGGTGCTGATCCCAAAGTCGGAGCGGTTGTCGAATCGGTAATCGCGGTCTGTCTCAAACACGTGGGAGAAGTTCGAGATGTGTCGAGATTCCAGCAATTTGGATCTCACATCGGTGCAAGTGCTACAAAGACCGAGTGAAGTATGAGTAACTCCTTGCCCTCTGAGAGGAAACGTACAGTTCCCAGAGTCGCATTGAAAGAGGTTCACGGAGCCAGTCGGAGTGTCGGCCAGCAGACCATTCAGGGCAGTTATCTGCAGTTCCGGAGCGACCCTGAGGTTTTTGATGACGGCACGATCTCCAGTGCCGCCCACTTGGGCCCCGACATAGGCGTCTGATCGTATGACGCGTTCGGCAATTGATATCTTCGCAATCCCCTTCCCGTCTATAGGACAAGGATACGTCTTGACCGCTTGCTGGACGAACGGGCCGACAGCATATGAAGTGATCACAATGAGCGAGGCCAAGACAGTGAGCTTCCTTTAATACTCCAGTGTCAGTTACAAAACTTTGTAGTTGATGAGAGGTGTCATAACTTACGGCTTGAGAGTCAGAAAAAGAAGTCTTACCGATCCCCAGATACCTCTTCCAGCATTGTCAAAATGCTCGATATGTCGCAAAGGACGCGGCTGATCCATCCAAAGCCACTTGCATTGTCCGATAACTATCATCTATTAGTGAACATTATCGGAGGTTCGAACATTTGGTTTCACCTTCAGCAACAACGAAAACCATCGCAGCTCTCAGGAGAGTAGTAAAAATAGCAATGGTCGTGGTTAGGTTGATGGAATACGCAAATTGTGGCTGCGGCTTTCCGTCGGACACTTTCAAGAGGATCATCATGGCTATGAAGGCCAGGACCGACACAATTATTGCCAGGAACTCGTACTTCCACAGCCGGAGGACATTGAGATTGCCCAATGGCTGATTTGAGTTCCCGATCTTCTTTGACTCATTGTCATCTTTTTCCGCTGCAGCCTGGCGGTGATTTGAAGAATGTCTTTGTGGTTCTTCAGTTGGCACGCTCATGTAAGCTCTTGCTGACGGGAAGTTTTTTGGCTGGAGATGGCCAATGTCGTCCGTCACCGCCACATCGCGACCTGAGTCGGCATTGTTAAGGGTGACCCCAGATGTTTCAGAGTGTACAGAGCTTCTGGAGCTGGCTCGTCTGTCATCGTCAGCCAAAAAATGGCCCTCACGTGTTGCCATCTTTTGATTGAGCACCTTTGGACTTCAAAAATCCACAAGCACAATTGTATGGCAAGCCGGAGAGGAGAGTCTGCTGAGTTTACATACTTCACGCAGGACACTAGGAGAATCAGAATGCGCCTAGTGGATGCAGCCCAAGGTCAGCTTTGGAGCTAAGCGTGTGAGCTAGGGATCTTATTTTGCTGCCTGCAGTTAAGTAGGGCCCTCGTTGGTCAGTAGATACAGGGATTAAAGTATGGCCGCAGATCGGTTACTCGAGGTGAGACTGAGTCTTGGAAAAAGAAGGGAAGTAGCGTTTGTTGATTGGAGTACTGTTTTCGTGGGCCGCCGAATCCTGAATCCTTTGACCACCCCAGAGTGCATGAATAGAACAAACCCATGCTGACCTCTCTTAGCACCAATGGGATTCGAAAATACTTGAACATGAATCTGACACTCACATCGACACTCCTGTCGAGATGCCTTATTTCCCTTGCACTCGTTCTTCTGGATCGCTAGCTTAAGGGGGTGGTTGATCTGCAAATTTGAGCAACTGCGTGCCGTACCTAGCCATGATAAAACCCATATCCGATGTGAAGTTCATCATTCATAGTTGTTTTTGCAGCCATAAACCGTTTGCAAAATTGGAGGCCTGAAATGATTGTGAATAACTGTCATCAGTTCATACCGATCGAACGGTAGATGTCCAAACGCCTAATAATACTAGTATAAGGATTCAATATAGTACCTCAATAAGTCATTAATCATCGCCTTCCATTTCTATTTTTGCAGTATTATGCGGATCAATCCATCGGGGCACTGCGTCGCTTCTGAGCAGAGCTCTTCTTAGGGGATAGACACCCAATGCCCTGATGCGTTGCGTCATGTTTGAATGCCCCTTTTTACTTGTCAAATTTCTCGAGGAGACTATGATCATCGCCCTAATACCTTACCTACATGACACAAGTTTGCGCTTTATACTGAAATTAGAAGCGCACGTAGAATACACCATAGCGTCTCTCCAGTCAGGAAAGTGGTAGAGAGATGGTTACAGGGAAAGGCATTCGTAGTTATTGAAGTCTCAGACAATTTCCAGCTTCCCTTCGTTTATGAAAATGGAACCGTTGCATCTATGCTGATTTCTAGCTTAGAAGTCAAGTCTCGAATCAGCCAAACGCCTGATGATTGGCAGCAGCCGCAAGCAACCTGAGCGTCACACGGAGGGCTTTTGGTTCTCTATCCTTCTTCAGCAGTCGGGGTGTATTAGAAGTATACGAAGCCAATACCTTGCCCCGCTTTCAAGTTGGTATTCATTCACGCGAAGCGGGTTGTATTACTAGACGCTGAGATGTCCAGTATGTCGACATCTCTTGAGTAAAGAATGCAGCTCAGATCTCTACTTCCCGCATGACCAACCGAGGATACTGCCCATCAGGTGTACATCGATACTTCCAATGTCTTAAGAATGATCACCACCAGCACATCCCAGTCTCATCTTAGACGTGGCAACGCATCATTTACTCTCGCTCGGTTCAAGTTCCCTCTGAGTCGCTAAATATTGCCTCGTCAACATGGCAGTGGCTAGAGTTAAAAAATAAGCTTCGCTTGAACATAACCACGACTCTCTAGGCAACGATGTCTCCAGATACGATTCTTTAGACGA